CCAACCCCAACCCCAAACCCAACCCCAACCCCAACCCCTTCTAATAAAATCATCAAATTTTACATCACAAAAATGCATATATATAATTTAAATTTAAATATTAATATTCTTATAAATAATTATTCCATTTGAATAAAGGGATGTTAATTTGATTATATTAAATTATAATTTCATGTAAATCTTAATAATATATTGTTAATTATATATAAATTTATATTATAATAAATATGGATTTATTTGTTTGTTCTATAGATTATCTTATCAAAAATAAAATACTTCGCATATCTAGATATTTGGCTTGGCTCCTCCAAATAAATATTCATTCTTTTATATTTCATTATTATAACTATCCCATATAAACTCCTCACCAAGCTATGATTATCCATCAATTAAATTAGCACTTATCTCTAGATCAGCAAATCCTAGTTCCAAAAATATTTATTCTTATATCTTAACGGAGGATTAGTAATATTGTTGATTAATAAAATCAAGGCTACTAATAACATTTTATTTTTAAGCATTCTAAACTAATTTTCTTGGATAAATTTCATTATGGGTATATGAAAATATAAATTCTGAAAAGGTTGATTTGATATAACCAAATATTGGGTTTCCATCATTGTTAGATTTAAAAATTATTAATCTTGGTCTACCAAAGAGTTAGGAATTTTAAATCAAGGAACATTATCTTTATACAATCTCTTAAGTATTTGGTTTAAAAGTTTAATAAGGATTTACTGGTTAACCAAAATAATTCTAAAAATTCTAAAAATTCTATTCAAAAGCTAAATTAGCCTTATTTAAAATGTCATCTAAATAATATTGTGGCAAGATAATAGATCTGTAATAAGGGAATTACATAGATTTATTGATTGTCTTTTTATCGAATTAAGTATTTTATTAACATAAATTTTACATAATAATAGACTAGAATTATTTATTAAAGTAATATTTTAAATCTTCTGATTCATTTTTGATTTAAGTACATATGTAATGGATTTAAGAATTACTATATAAATTGAATCTAAGATATTACAAATATTCTACTTATGTATTGATAATGAAATGTCATTAAATATCTTTTTGATATTACTGCTTTATTCTTTCATTAAATCTGTATTTATTAAACCCCTAACATCTATTAAATTCTTTATAATTTAATCTTAAATATCATAATTTTCATTTGTTTATGATTCAAGTTCTAAAATTAATTATCTAATTTCTTCTATTTTAAATTCCTAAACATTATATATTTCTATACTTATAATAACATTTATTTGGATTCTTTACACTTCTTTTTGAATTCCTCTAAGTTTGATCTTCCATTCTCTATAAATTTCTGTAATAACTCCATTAAAAATTTTAAAGAATTTTCCAATTCGGTATAATTTTACTCTAATTCTTCCTCCTTAAATTTATCCAAATCAGAATAAAATTTTTTGTATTTATCATCAATAGGAAGATGAGGAATTACTACATTTGGGTTTTCAATAATCTACTTATATAATATTAATTTACTTCTGGTATATAAATAATATTTGACTAATCTTTCATCTCATTTAGACATTTTATACATCCAAAATCAATCTTATCCCTTAGAATCCTAACCCATTATATAACAAATTTAGGATGGTTTTTGCAAGTTATGGTTTTATTCATTTAAAAATAAAAAGAATTAATTCCAAATTCTTATGAATTATAGGCTATATTTTATAGCTTTTCTATCATTATTTAAGAACAAAATTATATAGAATCAAAGGTTTCTCAGATTTTCATCAAATTCCTTTTTTTTCTTGACCATTATTATTCATACAATATGAGAAAATATTGAATAAATTATAAAAATAAAGGAAATTTAAGTAAGATCAAAACTATGATCTTAACAAAAAATAGTTCTAGTTTTATTTATTTTTCTAAAATATATACATGTAGTAATTTAAATAAGAATACCAAAAATACCTATGTAAATGTAAAGTTTTGTGTATATGATTTGATTAATTAAAAAATGCAATTGAGGCATTCGCTTACACCTCGCTACTTTAAAGGTGTTTTTAACAAGCGTAAACCTAAAAAGAAAGATCTTGATCATCAGTATTAGGATATTCTTATAAATTATTAGGTTTCACTCATTGTAAAACTATTTATTCCCAATAGAATTTCATATGAATTTGGTTGAGCTGGATTTAAACCAATTTAGATAGTTTAAATGGAGTGGGACCTGGACCTGGAGTTGGATTAGGACTCGGTACAATTGGATTGGTTGGACTTACTGCTGTTAGACCACAAACAAACTAATTTTTTAATTGATTTATTTTGCAATATAGTATGGAGATACACATTCTTAGCAAACTTTTGATGCATCTAAATAGAATTCTGCTTAACAATTAAGGCAACCTCCATTATTTGGATCAAATTGATAACAGTTGGTATAATTATATTAATTGGTATCATTAACAATTGTGTATAATAAGTTAACACAACCACAAATTCTAAGACATATCCAAATGAACATGTCAAACAAACATTTCCATTTGGACCTAATATTGCACAATTAGATTAACATGGATAACATGGTTTAAATGTGTATTATTTACTATTAAGTGTAGATTATGATTATTTCAAATAAAATCCATCTTTGCATATAGAACCTGTTTTACAATTATAAGGGCATGCAAAAGATTTTGCAGTTAGATTACCCAAGTAATTTCCATCATTACATTAGAATTTTATGTTGCTACAATTAAAATACAAATAGTGCATCCACTTGAACATTCAACACATACATTATTTGTGCAGTACATGTCAAACAATTCTGATTTTTTACTTGTGGCACATATTTAACAAGTATTTCCATATAATTTATTCAATGATATAATCTTTTCTAGAAAAAATATTTTTTTCGAAAGCTTACGAAGAATAAATTGTATGTCAATTATCTTTATATGCATTTTTATGTTGTTGTTGATAATGTGTATTCATTTCATTACTCAATTTAAAATTCACTTAATACTATAAAAAAGTTTCATCTTAAAATATGAAATTCATTCCATTAAAATTAAGTTTAAATAGCTTAAATATTTGATGGTATAATCAAATTTGATATTCTTTGACTTAGGTCTTGAAGTGCGTAAATCAAAAAAATAAAATAAAAGCAAGCTTAAATCATTTGAGGAGTTGGATAAAATTTGTTAATAAAAGTAGATTGCACTTGGATTGAACATTGATCGACTCTCAAATAAAAAATAGATGGTAAATGTATCATTTAATTTAATGATTAAAATGATGTATTTAAGTAATATTTAGATTCAGAAAAACTGATTGGAATCACAAGAGATGATCTTAAGTAAATGTATAGTGATATTTTTGATACTTCATTCGAAAAAGATCATTAAAATTCTTTAAGAGAAATCTTTAATGAAAGCAAAATTTATTTAACTATAAAAAAGTAACTCATGTGAAGTGTACCCTAAAAAAAAAGAAACTAGAATGTGAAAAAATTGAAGAGAAAATAAGAAATTATTAGCTGAAACTTTAACATTTGACAGCTCAGCCTCAATAATAAATTAAAAGAGACTTCAACTTTTAAGAAGCAGCAAAAACAATGAACATTATTTTTTTTATATAGAATATTTAAGCACAGTATTCCTTACAATAAGAAAATATACACTTAATCAGTCTCAATTTGATAGATTTAGTTAAGCGATAAATCAAATAGAAAACAATAATGAAAAGAAAAGGAAAATTATGTATTTTAGGTGCAATTGGAATGGAGTTTTCATTATTAAAGGGTTATTTAACAACTGAAATTTATTATTTTCATTTACTTTGTTTAATTAAAGAGTTGAAAAGATTCTATGATGAAAATAATTATGTATCAATTCTAGATAATAGTCCAATAATGCAGTGCATTACTAATTTTTACTCCATATTCTCCTTAGATGAACCCAATAGAGAAAATCTGGAATTAATTTAAAAACTAAGTGTATAAAAGAATAGTGTAAGAATCGCCAGAACTAGATAGATTAATTCATCAATTCTTTGCTGGTCTCACCTCAAACGAATAACTAATTGTTTCCTTTCCAATAACATAAAATCATAATTATCGTTTTTTATTGATAATCGATTCAATAATCCTTTTACTTCTCAACTCATTAATGACTGCATCANTTCATTCCATTAAAATTAAGTTTAAATAGCTTAAATATTTGATGGTATAATCAAATTTGATATTCTTTGACTTAGGTCTTGAAGTGCGTAAATCAAAAAAATAAAATAAAAGCAAGCTTAAATCATTTGAGGAGTTGGATAAAATTTGTTAATAAAAGTAGATTGCACTTGGATTGAACATTGATCGACTCTCAAATAAAAAATAGATGGTAAATGTATCATTTAATTTAATGATTAAAATGATGTATTTAAGTAATATTTAGATTCAGAAAAACTGATTGGAATCACAAGAGATGATCTTAAGTAAATGTATAGTGATATTTTTGATACTTCATTCGAAAAAGATCATTAAAATTCTTTAAGAGAAATCTTTAATGAAAGCAAAATTTATTTAACTATAAAAAAGTAACTCATGTGAAGTGTACCCTAAAAAAAAAGAAACTAGAATGTGAAAAAATTGAAGAGAAAATAAGAAATTATTAGCTGAAACTTTAACATTTGACAGCTCAGCCTCAATAATAAATTAAAAGAGACTTCAACTTTTAAGAAGCAGCAAAAACAATGAACATTATTTTTTTTATATAGAATATTTAAGCACAGTATTCCTTACAATAAGAAAATATACACTTAATCAGTCTCAATTTGATAGATTTAGTTAAGCGATAAATCAAATAGAAAACAATAATGAAAAGAAAAGGAAAATTATGTATTTTAGGTGCAATTGGAATGGAGTTTTCATTATTAAAGGGTTATTTAACAACTGAAATTTATTATTTTCATTTACTTTGTTTAATTAAAGAGTTGAAAAGATTCTATGATGAAAATAATTATGTATCAATTCTAGATAATAGTCCAATAATGCAGTGCATTACTAATTTTTACTCCATATTCTCCTTAGATGAACCCAATAGAGAAAATCTGGAATTAATTTAAAAACTAAGTGTATAAAAGAATAGTGTAAGAATCGCCAGAACTAGATAGATTAATTCATCAATTCTTTGCTGGTCTCACCTCAAACGAATAACTAATTGTTTCCTTTCCAATAACATAAAATCATAATTATCGTTTTTTATTGATAATCGATTCAATAATCCTTTTACTTCTCAACTCATTAATGACTGCATCATAGTTTATTCTTATAGAATGATATTGTTTCATGACTTAATCGTTGAACAATCATTTTTGATAATAGTTCTTTTTACTATTCTTTTAATTTAAAATTGATTTGATATTATGAGATTTAATTTATTACTTACAACTATCTTATGTCAACAGATGGATCATAATTTTCATTGACAAAAACTTCTGGTGCCTTATAAATTTATGTTCCTACTTTTTGTGTATGTAGTTCCTTATTGTTTTTTCGCACATGAAAAAGCCTATCAATTTGATTTTATCCAATGATAAAATTATTTGGATTCATATTTTGATGGTAAAATCCTAATTTATGTAATTATGAAACACCTTTAGCCATCTAAAATTTTTGGAATTATTTACTGGCTAGCAAGTCTTTCTTATGTCAGGAAGATTCTAATGCATTCTTCAAATTCCATTATTGTTTTACATTCATCAAAAGAAAATAGTTCAAAAATATGTTCAAATTTTTTTCCGTTAAAAACCTGCATTAAATTATTTTTATGATGTTACCCTAATTCCCTCTTCCAATCTTTCTTCTTTTAATTACTGTAACGTTTTCAACTTAAATTGTTTTACCCTCAGCAAACATCATTTCTTTTAAAATTATATTTTTATTTTAAATTTTCTTTTGTTTCAACATTAATATCGAAGACTTTTTCCTATTCTATTTTTATAAAATGAAGATACTGGGGTAATAAAAAATTAATTTTTATCTTTAGTTTAACAGTATTTTTAGATTAGATGATGCTATGAAACAAACTGGTTACAATTTTTTCTTAATCCAAAAGAGCGATTATATTGCAAATCAGCTTTTAATTAAATATAATTTATTTTTGTGTATAATAATATAGATTTAACTCTGTGATGTTAAATATATAATTATCAGAAATTAAGAATAATGAATATATTTTTTTAGTCCCTATTTGCCTTTTAACATAAACCAATCTATATAGATATCAAAGCAAGATTGGAGAGATAAGAACAATTCTGTTATGTGTTTTAAGGTTAGCATATATTTAACATGTTATAACAAAATGGATCAATCACTAGATATTAGAATTTTTCAAAACTAAGAGCAGAATAATAGTTTGAAAGCAGATTTAAAGTTTTAAAGTTGAGCTCAAAATTTAAAATTTTTAATGTTATTGATACAAAAGAGTTTCTGAAATTTCTTTAATCAAGCCAAATCCTTTCCAATTTAGCTATAATTTAAGTGAAATGGCATTGGAAGCAAATCTAAATTTTCTTCTTTAATGTTTCACAATAAAATTATATTTTATAAAATAACAAAAAATTATGTTTAAGCAAAATGACTATCCAAAAGAAAATATCTAGATCCTTAATGATATTTTCCAGGATTTATATTGGAAAGAAAGCATTAATTTGAAATCTGATTTAACTCAAACTAACGATACTTAAGAATAAGCCCAAATTATGAATAGTTTAATTTTTTAATTCTAAAAAAATAAAGAATTCGATGTAGATTTGTTTGCAATAGCACTCAAATTAATTTTAGGATTAATTAAAAAAAGTGTTCAAAAAAATAGGAAAAGAATTTAAATAAGATCATGGAATCATTATGCTAAGTAAATATTAATTTTAAAAAGAAAATACATGAGAGAGTTTGAAGTTGTAAAACTCTATTTATAAATCCTTTATTTTATTGATCAAGATTAAGAGTAAATTGAAGATTAAATTAAGATAATAGCTGAAATATATAAAAATTATTCGCATGATTAGGATATATACTCATTAATGATTGATTTAATATCTGAAAGATGTTTCTAAAAGTAAAAAATACATCCACTATATTAGTTTTTAGGAGTCCTTAATGGTTGTTTCTTATCGATAATGTGTGTTAAATAATTATTGAGAATTATTAAAACCTCCCAATAAATATAAGATCTCTCAGAATTTTAAATAAATTATTCCTTAAAAATTCAGATTTCACAGTTATCCAAAAATATGGATTGTTAGGTATATAAATATTTTTATCAGATCACATTCAAAATGTTGTTTATCTTTATATTGATAATTAAACTTTATGTGGAGAAGTTACAAAGTTTTTGTCTATCTTAGTAAATAGACACAACCAAGAATTTCTGTAAATTTTTGTAAGATTTAATTTTATAATATCAATTTTTATATAACATTTAGAAAATGATTAAATAGTTTTTAATACTATGAAAATTTTGGGATGTTTTTTAGATTAAAAAGCTTTTTCATCAGGTTTTGTCAGTATGGAAGTATTAAGATTATTTGCTGAGTGGAGTAATAAAATAAATATTCAAAAATCAAATTTAAGAAAAATATCAACAACTTCTTTAATTATGTTATTAATAATTGAGTTTTTAATCGTTGAAAATAAAATCTCTGAAGTATAAATTGATGAATACTTGGTAAAATTTTGCATAAATCTTATCTCATGTTTAGCAAACGATGAGTAGATATGTATCAAAGTTTATTAAATTATTTGCAAATATACAATGAACAAAAATATTATTAACTAACTATTCTAGTAAAATACTTTTTAGAGAATTGAAAATTCCTTTTTTGTTTTGAAACATGGAAAATAATTTTAATTAATTATGATTTAATTTATAAATTCTTTGATATTAAATGATATTGAAAAAATTGATATCGTGATTACATCTATTTTATCACAATAAATACTAATGTCAATTTAAAATAATTATTAAAGTGATGAATATGAAGAAATTGATATTTAAATTTTATTTGAAATGCTCCGTTTTATATCTTTAATTAGCTTAGATAATATTAAATGTTTAGTAATTTGGAACACTGATCGTATTTAGATGTTTTTTTATGAAGTCTAATAGACATCATTGAGAAAGGATTAAAAAATAATTGAAATATTTTTTAATATATTATCAATATATAGCCAACTTGAAATAGTTTAAGATTTCTTAATTAGAAACACAAATGCATTATTAGAAATAATTGAGGAAAACATTTTAATGTTTGAAATTTGTGATGATTATGCAGTAAATTTTATATAAATTCTAGCATATCTTGTAAAATCTGATAAATAATTAAAATAATAATATTCATTTGATTATAGATAAGTATGTGCCACTAAGTTTAGCAATAATAAAAAATTAGCCAGAACAGTAAACTTTAGTTTTGAAATTTTTTGATATGTTCGAATAAATTTCAAAAATAGATTTGTAAACTCGATTAAGGATTTAGGATCTGTGCTAAACAGTTATATAAGAGTTTGAGCAAGAAAAATTTATTCAGTAAAACTTAAATAACTATAGAGTCCTTATCTTAACACTTTGAATGAGTATATAGGTCGATGTTCCTTTTCTTATTAAAACTTATTAACAAAAGAAGCAAGAGATTATTTAGTAAATGGAATTGATTGTAAATTGTAAGAATTTTATAAAAATTTAAGATATAAAGATGATGGTTCTGTATCAAATTTATTAGTATTCATAACTCCAGATCTAGCTTCAATATGGTGCAAGCATCATGGTGATTCAAACACTAAATAGAAATGGAGACTTGCAACTAAACACGTGATTTCAATTAAAGACTATTTAAATGATATTGAAGGATGGAGATTATCACCTTTTAGAAAATTCGGAAAGAAAAGTAAATTATATTGAAATATATGTAGAAATTGATATAAACAGTTGTTTTACTATAACAGGTAATATTATTTTGAACAAGCAGATATAATTGTAAAATTTTCATATTTGTGCACCGACAGCATAAGACAAATATAAGATGTTTGAATATTTAAGGGCACTTGTCTAAATAAATTGAAATATTACATATCAATATAGAAAGTAAAGCTAATTTATTAAACAAACAATAATTATAAATTAAATTATGAGGTAATTCGGAAGAAAAGAAAAAAAGCACAAATCATTGAGTTTATCTTTTGAATCTCTTATCAATAGATTAAATGATTTATAAGTTCAGAAAAACAATTTCTTAAAATCCTTTTTAGGAAATAACAACGATTTAAATTCATAGAATGATGATTAATAGATATCTAAGAGTAAAAATGACTAAACTTAAATGATTGTGAAATATGACCCTCCAAAATTGTATATAAAGGATAAACAATATGATATATCAAAATCAAAGTATGAATAAGAAATAGCGAAGAATTTGGATAAATTAAATAAAGAGATTGATAATCAAGCATCCCATATTGTAAATTTAAGACAAATGTCTGCAATAGAATTTTATCTATTAGTTAATTAATTAAATGTGAATGATAATTTACATTTTAGTAAAACTGATATTTGCACTATTTGTTAATTTGATTTATTTGAAATAGAAGATTGGGAAAATTTTGAAAACCTCTTAGCTTATGAATAACTAGTCGTAGGGCTTCCATGCGAACATTATTATCATATGGATTGTTTATCACATTGTATAAAAGAATAACATATCTAATGTCCAGTTTGTGGGAAAATATATGGCATTAAAACTGGAGATTAGCCCGATGGATAGATGATATGTTAAATAGACTATAACACTCATTGTGAAGGATATGAAGATTGTGGAACAATCATAATTAATTATCATATGTATGCTGGGTAAAGAAATGGATAATAATTCCCACCAACATACAGAGAGGCATTTTTACCAGACACTCCTGAAGGAAGACAAGTATTTAGACTATTAAAAATGGCTTTTGAAAGAAAATTAATTTTTACTGTTGGACGTTCTGTAACAACAGGTAAAGATAATAGAATAGTATGGAATGGAATTCACCATAAAACAAATTTAATGGGAGGTGTTAGTTGTTTTGGATACCCTGATCCTACTTATTTTAGTAGAGTTAAAGAAGAATTAGCAGCAAAAGGTGTATATTGATAAAATTTATTTATATTTTATTATTCATCTATTTTTTTTTTAGTCAGCCTTTGATAAAAATTTCCTTATTAGAAATCCTAAAGTAACTACACAACAAACCACTCCTACACATATATATGCAATTGACAAAAATTCATTTTTTCCTCCAAAAGCATTGGTTGTTGAAAATACTATAAACTTTTTTCCATTAAAAGATGAAACATTGTAAGCTAAAGGTATATTAATTTATATAATTACTATTTGTAATTTGAACTTCATAAATTCCAGCTTCTAAATCTTAATCTATTTTTCCCCATAATTTTCTAAACTATGGTAAAGCTGCAGTTCTCATCCAAACCATAAATCTTTCTTTTAATAATAATCATTTACTATACCATCTTCCATATCTATCCATTATCTATTCAAATCGATGTTTTTATATCTACCATCTAAATCACTTGGCCAAGCTATTCCTTTACTTGATATTGTGATTTCTTTTTTTGTTTCGTTAACTACTTAAAATAACTTGAATGTATCATTGAAATAACTTTTAGCAATTAATCCACATGGTATCGCTTTATCATCTGTAAGTAAAGGTTTATTTGTAACGCTCATAGTTTTTCCCATATCTTCATTAGTTACAACTGGATCACATTCATCCAATTCGCCTTCACTTAAATCTGTTCCCGATAATTAGAAAGGAGATTTAGATTTAACATATCTCCTGTGATTTTAATAAAAGTTTGTCAATTAGTAATAAAAGAATACTGGAGATTTATAATTTCCATCAAGAGCTATTTAAATTACGCAATCAGTATCTTAAGCCAAACAATATGAGTCATATTAAAATTCTTGGGTCGCAATATCATTTGAGTAACTTATCAACACTATTCCCATTATTAGAAAAAATAAACTCATAGAAGCAAATAGTATTATAGTTGAATTCAAAGTAGGTACAGGTTGCCATGCTTTCATTATTTATTGTTTGAATGCATATGAGAATCCTTTAGGTTGAGCTTACATAATTAAATAATATATTTAATAATAATTATTCAATGAAAATTATGTCTCATTTTTATTTAATCTAAACTAAATTCTGAAAATCCATTAAAATAACATTCTTATTCTTTATCAATAACTATTAAAAATTTATAAATTGTATAATCTTAAGCCTAAGATTTAATCATCTGATCAAATAAAATAGGGATTTGAGAAATTATTTCTTAATTGACATTAATTTCTAAAATTTTAAATTAAATTTTGCAACAAAACATTCCACCTCGATTAAATTTTTATTCTCTAAAAGTCCAACCTAAAATTACTATATTATTTTCTTTAAAAACACCTTTTTTATAGATTAATTATACCATAGTAAGAAATTAAATTATTTGAAATGAGAGCTTAAATAATGAATTTTAATAGTTACAATTAAATTGGATATTAGATTGAGAGGTGATGTTTTTGAAAAGTTACTTTTATAAGTTAATTCATACCATATCATCAAATGAGAGCTTTCTAACTTATAGTGAATTATCCATATAAAATAAATTATAATTAATTTAGTTTAATACATAATTCAATACTTAAGGTTTAACCAATTTCTCACGGTGCTTTTAATTTTACTTTTACAATCTGGATTCATTTATTTTTTATGAAGCTTATTCCTAATATCTAAATTAAGGAGATTATTTACAATTTTATAAAACTTAGGTTGCATATTTGATATCTAAATATTATCTTCTTAATAGCCAAGCTTTAACATTTTTTTAAATAGTTTATATATGATTGGCATAGTTATCGTAAGGCTATTTAAAATACAATAATTACAAAATTAGAATTAAATTCAATCTATTGTGGTCGAACTTCATGCTTTGAATAGTTCCTTAGATATTTATGTTTTGTGTGTTTTTCCTCATTTTTAATAACTGGACTGTTTTTATTTTCAAACAGATCATTAACTTCAAAATATTATTAAGTATCTTAATCATCTTACCCATTCCATGATTATTATTCAGTATATGAACTTGAATTATGAATAGAATCACATAAAGTATACCCTCTAATTAGTAGATCTAAGATCTTTTTATTTTAATAGACACTGTCAATAGAAAATAGTTAATCAATATCTGGTTTTTTTCCAGCATTTTCATTAAATTAATCATCAATAGCTCCCAATTATATTAATAAATTCACTATTTCTTCTTACTATAAAATGATTGCAATTTACAAAGCCGTTAATCCATCACATCCAGATTAATTTATATTGGCTCCATTTTTAAGAATTAATTTAATGGCTTAAGCATATCCTAATAATGTTAAATAATGTATTAAGGAAAATCCATATGAATCTTATTCATTTAAAAACTATATAACTATTTCTTGATGATTCATTCCTAAAATGATTATTTATTATATTAAATGAGTGACTCGAGAATCATCAATTTATTCTAAAGACTCAATATTTTCTTATTCCATATTTGTAACTTATATATTCAATGAATTAGTAAAGTATGCTTGGAAGGATGCAAGTTTTTCAATAACTCGAACTTTAAATTCTGAACTATCTATTTTATCCTATTCAATTATTTTTTCTTTTTATTATTTATCTTTTTTTGTTTTTCTTTTCTACTTATAAGTGAAATAATTTGTATCATGATGTTCATCAATCAGTATTCCATTACTAATAATTTTTAACTCTACTTTTCCAGGAACATTAGAAGGAACAATACATTTTAATACTCCAGGTTGTACACAATTAGCTACTACAGGAATATTTCCAAACAAAATTTAACATTAATAAAGCTCTTTGATTGGTTAGAAGCATAGCATCATTTTCATGCCACCTTCTGTATAGTCCCATTCAGGTGAAAAATCAACAATTTTAACTGATAATGTTTCTTTAAAACTAGAATTAAATTCATCCGAGCTTTCTCTATGAGTAGAACTAGATGCTCCAGTATTTCTCTCTTATTCTAAATATTGTATTCGTTTTTCTAAAATTGATATTTCTAAATAATAATGACAAATACTTTATTTCAATTCGAGATCTTATTATTAATCTTGGAAATCACAGAGAAACCAAGAATCACATTAAAATTCATTATTAATGGGTATATTAACTAAAGGTTCGATTTATTTTTAAACTTCGTTTTACTCTCCAACTTCTGAAAATTAGGAATTTAAATAGTGTACTAAATAAATATTTTATGTTTATTCTAATAGCTTATATATTCTTCTATTTAATTATTAACCATCCTTCTTTATAGTTTAGGAATATAAACAAATAATCATCTAAATCTTAAACTTAAATATCTTACAGGAATTCCATTTATTTTAAGTTTTTCAACATCTTCTCTAGTTCCAACTCCATTATGGCGAGGAATATATTAATACCCATCTTTCTTCCATCCTCTTTCTTTTTCTGGTCTTATTAGAAAATATGAGCCTGATTAAGGCTAATTTGGAAGAGAGGCATGAATATCTATTCGTAATTCTGTTAGAATTTAATAAACTTCTTGCGTTTTCAACCACCTTTAAGAAATATTGAGCATTAAATTATAAAATGTAAAAAGATTACTCATTTCATATATTTAAGATTTCATCAAAGTTTCTGATTACGATGACTTTGACTCTATCTTATGTTTCATTATATTTATAAACCGTAAACTTAGGCAATTCTAGAAGAGATGATCAATGGTTAGACTCCTCTGATGGTATTTTGAGTTTTTGCATTATTTTTCTTTTTGCATCATTTCCTTTTCTAAGCTACTTAAAACTAAACTAGATTCTGAAAAAGGACTCTTACCTAATTCAATTGCATTATCTTGTCTCCAATATTAAAAATGATAAAAAAACATTATTATAAGCATTATTTGTAGATATTAACCCAAACGCTGAAAATTCATCAAACCTTTTAAAAAAGTTAAAATTAACTTGATTTCTTAAGTGAGGTTGTTATCTGACATAATTGAAAGCTCTCTCTTCCAAAAAGATATCCATCTACTTATTTTAATTGAAAATAAACTATAGTCAACACAAAACATCATGTAAGTTAACAAACTAAATAAAATAATATTTGTTAATCTAATTTCTTTTATTAACAAAATCGCTCAAAGAGCTTCTTCCATTAAAACCTAAAATTCATCAAATTTTAATATTTTCGATAGTTATAAAAATTCATATCCTATGTATTTATTAAAATATTAATAGTAATTAAGCCAAATATATTAGAAATTAATTATTGTTCTTTTAAAGAAATCTTGATTTTAAACACCTCATATGAGTATTCAAGTTTATTAACTTTTTTACATTTTTGTATTCTATACTTTGCTTATGAAAAAAATAGACTTTAAAAATTCTGGAGAGTCTTGCAATATCAAATATCTAATTTCTTCAAGATCATCATTTATTTCTGTTCTCTTCTCTTCTAATACACATAATCTTTATAACAATCTCTCTCTTTCCTTTAAATATCTTTTTTAGAATCGAAGCTGATTTAAATCTTACTAAAAGTATGACCATAAAAAGTCCACTGTGCATGAATATCTATCTTATGGAAATTTGCTAATCTTATTAATGAAATTTGTGACATAATCTGATGAATCACATATATGAACAAATCATATTCTAATGATTAATTTGTAAATCAATCCTACAGAATATTTGAACAAATTTTATAGATTCATGTTGTCTTTCCAAAATAAACTCCAAACTCTTTATAATAATGAAAAAATGAAAGTATAATCCAGAATATTAAGTTAAATTAAATTGTCATGATACGAAAAAATTGGATCGTTACAATAATTTCCAAATTTTCTAAAGTGTTTTTTTAATCTAAAATTAATGATCAATGATATGAACTATAAAATTTAAATAGGTAATACAATGGCAATCGAAAAAGTTTATATCCAAGAAAAATATGTTAATGATTTTATATAGAAAAGAGCATCAGTTTCATATAAGATCGAAGATATATATTAGAAGAGGTATTTCTTCTATTAACAAACAATAGTACTTCTTTATACATAATAATAATTTTAATAATTCTATAAGGAGCTATGCATTATTAACAAAAGTACATTATTTGGGTAAAATATATCATAAAGCTTAAGAGAACTATTGAATGTCTAGAACCGTATATAAATTGAGTATTGTAATGCTTTTCAAAAACTTATTTCTTCTACATTCAACAAGATTATTTAATTTTAGTAAAGGTTGCCAATTTTCATCTATATTTTCTTATCACATTAGTATTAGATAAATAAAGTATGATTACTAAATCGTTTTCTTAGTATTTTTACAATTATTTATAATCAAAAAAAATTATATTTGATATATTAGAATATGATGAAAATTCCTTCTTCTCCTACTTTAATACAATTCGAAAGTATATTTTAATCAAATCAAAATTTCTGGTGTTTATGTCCTTAGGAGTCAGTTAAATATGATTTAGAGAAGAGATTCATAGTAATCATTAATTCAACAATCAAAATAAAGAAGTTACGGATAGGAGGCGGCTATATATAATATTCAGATAATGTATTCACTTAATTATATAAATAGAAATACATCGATATTAATAATATAGAAATGCAATAAACTCGTAACTCTTAAATTGATTCTCCTGGAGTGAAATTAACAAGACAAAATTAAACATTAGAAATTTATGGAGATATAGATGATTGGGTTGAATATTTAAAGCCTTTCGCAATTTAATTTTATTTCCAACAAAGATATGTGATATAAAAAAAAATTGAAAAGGGAACATTACAAAATTGGTTTACTGTCAAGTGCAAATCCACATCTCATGAATATGCAGTTTAAATAATTGAAAAAAATAACGATTTAGATAAAAGACTTTTGATTCGTAACATATAACTACTGAGAACTCTAAAATTACATAATTTAATAAAAATGAAAGAAATTTATGAAAGTAGAAAGTTGATATACATTATCTTTGAAAATATAGAAGGAACTAATATAGATGATTTAAAGCTAGATAAATAATTATCTGAATTTGACATTTCAACAATAATGAGAATTTTGTTTACAATATTAGAATATTTACATCTAAACAATATAGTCCTTGGCAACAAAGCTATCTTTTAAAATTTATATTTAAGAAACCCTAAAGAATGGTCATCAGTTTATTTTATTGATCATTTTGATATTCAAGGTTTATATTAAAATAATAATGATTTTTATTCCAAGGCATAAATTGATATAAAGAATTTTGGTAATATCATGAAATATCTTTTGGATTATAATAACGAGGCAGCAAAACTTTATAGTTATGAATTATAAGAATGGTCAAAACAAGCATTTGATTTCTATCAAAAAATAAATGATGTAAATAAAAATTATTCTTCTTATGATGCACTTCAACATCCATTCGTTTTTCAAAGTTCCAAATTGATAGTTGGAAATTTTAATTCTCGAAAATTATTTCATATGAGCTAATTAGGAATATAATCATTAGAAATTTCAACTGAATTGAATTCAAATAATTAGTCAAATTCGAATAGTCCTATAAAAAGAGGAAAAAAATTAATAAAGATTAAGCCTATAGTATCTACTCCAGCTTCTCCAATTCAAAAAGTCACAAATGAAGATTCAAGTTCTTAAGGTTCAATTGATGTAAAAGCAATTTTAGAAAAATATTAAGATGTGAAAAAGTCAGATGTTATTATTGAACCATGTTTAGAATAAAGTCCATTAAAAAAACATATCAATAGTTTTAGATTAACATCAAAAAAATCTATAATTTAAAACCCAGCAACTTCAAAAGATAAATCAAGTTTTCACTAACATTCTAATTTCAAAAAATCGACTCAAACAATAGAAAATATTTAAAAAAGATATAAGAAAGAATTACCAAAAAAAAGATCCACTTTAGAACTATGAATATAAATATTATAATCATATTATCATTTAATGTATTTCTATAAGGTTTTGCCTCTTGAGATTGTAGCTAACATTTTTGTTCTCTTAGTGATTAAATTATGATCGAATTTTTTAATGACAACATCATAATTGTAATGTGGAAAATATTCTGTCATTAGATACTATTTATCAACATTAAAATCAATATTTTCCTCATTAATTAATTAATCATCTTAAAACATGCCAAGCATATCATCATAAGGAGAGATCAATTAAGAATTTGTATTATTACTATGATAAACAGATTTACTATGTTTACCACTCATAACACTATCATACCTAGCTAAAGATTTATTATTTGAAGTTTCTTACCTTATAGTTGAAACATATGAAGGTTTAGATTTGTTATTTAACCTCATTTCAATTTTTATTGATCTTTCTTTATTTAATTTTCGTAATAGTAATGTTTACTTTCTTTAATTATTTTATTTTAAGTTGTCACTATCCCATCTCACAACTGAAGGAGAGGCTTATGTTTATTACTATTATTATATTGAAGTTTATAATTGAGATTATTAACTTGATTATTAACCACTTTAATTTTGAATATTATTTTATAGAATTGACTTTGGTTTATTAGTATTTTTATTAGTGAATTTATTAGTTTGTTCATAATTTGATTAATCATTCTATCGAAAATAATCAGTAAAAGTGTTGCTTTTTGAAAAAGATTCAAATTTTGAATCTTGAAATTATTTTTATTTACTCCCTTATTAAGTATTATCATCCTATTCTTCTTCTTCTTTTGAAATATTAAATCCTAAGTCTTAAAGATATTAGTCTGAACAATCAATTTATTCCATTAATTTTTCATTTATCATGAATGCTAATCCACATTCCTAAACATCTTTAAGTGAATATTTTGTTTTAAATGAGTAATATTTTCTATCTTTAAAGAATCTATCTTATGGCTTAGAATTTTTATTTATTGTTATGATTTTATTTCTATTAACTTTTACAAATACAAAAGGGCAAGTATTTAATTGATGAGTCCATCCACATATTTCACATACTTAGCCAAAATTTTTAAAACTTTCATTAAAAATGAGATTATCTTAAAGCATTTTGAATCTTTCTAAATCTTATTGATCTTCATATAAAATTTTCATTATATCATCTATATTGAGATAAATCAATTGAGAAAATTTTACTGCTTTCAAGTAAGTTTAATATTAACTTTAAGTAAGACATTCCTTTTCACCAAATACTCCTTACTCAAAAGTTTTAAGTCGAATATTATTTGCCAACACATCTAATTACCCTTTTAATAAAAAGTAAATTTTAGTTCCTTTTTCATCAGGAGACCATATTTTTTCTTCTGGAGCTAACTTTTTTTCATGAACAAATAAACATAATTTTTTGAGGCAATTTTCACATAAATTGGCTAAAACTTTAGAATTTTTGAGAATATTAAAATACAAATCTATAGCAACCTTTTCTTTTAAATCTTTAGTTAATTGTTACATCATTAATTCAGCTTCAAATTATGATTCTTATTCTAGTTTTAAGTAATGTTCAAAATACTTTCTAACTTGCAATTATAATTATTAATTTAAATTTCTACTTTTTAAATAATTAGTTAATATTGATAATTTAGATTTAAATTATTAATCTTTATCTTAAAGTAATTTAATGATATTTCCAACAGTTGAAACACTGTAACCTAAAATACCACAAACTAATAATGCTAATAGAATTGAATATATTTTTTCAATGTCTGTCTATGGTGTTATATCTCCATAACCAATAGTCAATGTAGTAATTGTGCAATAATAAATTGAATAAATATACTTCTTTGTCCATGTTTCACCATCTATTCCATAATGTGTAATCCAAGAGTATGTATTGTGTTGTATTTAAATTTCTCCTAATAAACCCCAAAGACAAGCACAAAAATGGCATGTAATAATTATAAAATAAATCAATTTAGCCAATTAAAACAACATTTTGAAGGACTCCTTTGGGTTAAATATTTCTTCAAGATTATTTGCCATCTTTGGTAATTTTACTATCCGAAATAACAATGCAAATTTAAGGATATCTATCTCATACTATTAAAATAATATAGGAATCAATATTAAAATATCTATCAATAATTTCCCTCCTTTTGTATAGTTTTTTAATATTTCTGTCTAACTTCTATGAATAGTTCCTTCATGATAATAAGCAGTTTATAAAGTAAATATTACATCTAAAAGCAATAACCAAGAAGGTATAGTATTTAAATATAAAACTACTTAATCTGATACCTAAAAATCAAAGCTAAGTTCTAATGGAATGTATATCAAATTAATAATTATTGAAATAAGCATCATAATATCCCAAATTATTTTTATGGTTTAATCAGGATCAATTATTGGAATTAGCTTTAAAATTTTGAAAATATAGTTAAAATTACATATGTTCTTTTTTATTTTCACATTTTTTAAAATATCTCGGTATTCTAATATTACATTTGAATCACTTCCTGCATCATTAACCAAACCTAATATCCTTGTATTCAATAATTTAAATTTGATTTTGTTTCCACTTGTTTTTATTTACCTAATGAATTTCGAGACATAATATAAAATATTCAACGATTTCTCTTTCCAAATATTTTAGAATCCATTACTAGAAAAAACTTACTCATTATGTGGACTTGGTGATCCATTTTAACTCATAGAGTAAAAATCCCTTGTTAATTATATAAATACTAATAGCCTTAAGATGATGATTTAGATAAAATTGATGCTTCTAAAACAACATCCTACTCTTATCCTTATTTTGGATTTAATTAATTTTTTGTCATGCTATTGATTCTATTATTCTTTAAAATGCTTTTTAAAGCGCTTGGCGATTTTTCTTAATGGTTCTTGGAAGAATATGAGAATAATGTACTAATTTTGATCTGTTTTATGTTAAAATTTCCATTTATAATAATAATTAACTTTCAAAGTATAATTATGGTAACTTCACTTTGTAAGTTTTTAATAAAAATACTTGAATTTTGTCTATTAAATCATATTTGCCATTTTATAAACAATTTTAAATAAATATTTTATTATTATATGGCCCTTTTATTAAAAAGAAATTGTTAATATAATTTATAACAATAAATTTCAATATAGTTAGTTCACGAACATTGTTTCAATTAATATAAAGATTTTTCTATTGTTTATTCTGAGTTTTCAATTAATCTTTTAATTCTTGATTCAGTTAGTTAAACCAAAGGATTTTGTACAGAGTCATAAATTCCACTAATTGTTGCTCTACTTTAATTTTTAGTAACTGGAGAAGAAACATTAATTTAATCTAATAATTTATTTGATTCAGCCAAGGCTTTGTCAATTCTAATTTATAATATAGTATCTGTAATGATATTTTCTTCATTAGCTGCTTTCAAAGAAATAATTGATTCCTTTTTCTTATGATATGAAATTTACTATTCATCTTAACAATATGAATTTGGAGATTATATAATGGATTCTGGTGAGTGATGATCAGCAAAATCAACTGAATCTCCATCCAAATTGCTTACAAAATGATGGTATTATTTTTTTGCCAAAACTTGTTTTATTGACAATCTTTCTTCTGGATCTAGAGCCAACATTTCTTTAAGCATAGTATAAAGGCTATTAGAGTATGAATATTAGGTAAATTTTTAATCGAGCCTTTTAAATAAAATATTTAAATTAACAAATTCTTCAAGATAGTAATCACTTACAGGTTATTATGTAATTAATTAAGATAACAATAATCCTAAACAAAATATGTTTGCTTTATCTTAATTGATTTTATTTTTTAATCCTGAAAACATTTCTAATTATTCTGGTGCTAAATATTCAACTTATCGATCATTATATTTCACTTAATGAAAATTAGATATTGCTTCTAATGATACTATGTTGTCTACTAATTTAACAAATCCATCATCTGTAACTAATATTTTAGATGGATGTAGATCTGTAATTTCATTATTATTTTGTTTGCAATAATCCATAGCATCACATAATGAAAATATTAAATAATATAATTCTTTTTCTGTAAACCTTTCTTTAAATTAAGTAATAGTGTTTTCATAATATTCAACTTAAATTGACAGGTATTTAATTTATGAACATAAATCATTTGCAACAAGTTTCTAAAAACCTAAAACTTTCAAAAGATTTATGTTGTCATACTATTTTCTCTTCGAATAAGTTTCTTATTTCATATTATGCTGTTCAGATTCAAATATTTGTTTATTGATTATAGCAATTCTTCTTCCTGTTTCACAATGTTTATATAACTTAATCTCTCCAAAAACTTGATGAGTTTTTTAAGTGACATATAAGTAGTTTTAATCTAAAACCAGTAAATTTTAAGTTCCATTTGTGTTTCCCATTTTTAATTTATATTATTAATCGTTAATATATTATAATTTATAGGATGCTAAAAAAAACTAAATTTAGAATAGTCTTATTTCAAAAAATTAAAAAAAAGAAAATCCCTAATGAGAGCATTTATGGAAATAATTGTAATCTTAAAAGATTCAATAAAACAAAAATTTCGTATTATCAATATTCCTTTATTTATTTCAATAAAGATAGTGTGATTTGTTCGTTAAATTTTTCATATGGAATAAACATTAGTAAATGTCTTACCAAATAAATTAAATTGTGAAGTACTAAAATTATAATAATAAGAATTTACTTTCACTTTATTTATAGAAGTATATTAAACTAAACAGAATTATACTTAATCCTCCGGCTAAATAATAAAGTAGACATCCTATTTCTAAATTATAGATGTAAGTGCTTAAATATGAATTCTTCTCTTAAATAATTTGGTAAATAAATGGTTCAATAAATGAAGGAAAAAATACAATAAGTGCCCAATATTCATCACTTATATATCTTTAAAAATTTTCTTAATAAAATAATAATTTAATATTTTGAAGTACTCCATTTAAACCATTCTAGTAACTTTTTCGAAATTATTCTTGTCCACATACATAATGATTTGAGTTAATGCATAGATCCTTATAGTATATTTCATTAAGAAACTCCAATATTCCATCTTCTTTTGTTAATGGTAATGGTAAGAATTTATAGCTTTAAATTGCCTCATCATATTTTGCATAAATATCTGCTAAACCTTCAGTAGTATAATTGTTGACAATGATTTCATTTAACAAATTATAATGTTATATATGTTGATATTCATGAGATAAATGTACATATTATTCTGCTCTAGCTAAATAGTCATTTGGAATCTAATTTGAAAATAGTAGTCCTCCGATCAAATAGATGATCATACTAAAAAATATGAATATTAAAATAGATATCTCAAACCACATTGACAATTTCACATCATAAATTTTAGTTTATAATATTTATTGTTTAGAATTAGGTTTAAGAGAATTATTTAGTCTATCATTAAGAATATCTTATGAAATAAAATCAGTAGTTACTAAATTTAATCTATTCAATTTTGATATATGCGTAATTATTTCTGATAATTTATTTACTTCTTTTTAATATTCATTTATATTGACTCTTGTTATTAATAAAACAATTTTTTCTTAATAAATATTCAGTTTTTTATAATTCATTAAATATGGAAATAATGGTAATACCAATATTCCAATTGTTAAAAAAGTAATATAATCTTAAACAGTCCTCATTTAATCAATGTCATCAATAATGCCTTGCATTTGAAAATCATTAATTACATCTGTACATTCGGTTATATCATAAAATCTACTAATTAAATTAAGAAATTAATTTGTTTCATTAATTGATGACATTATTTAATAATTACTCACAAGAAAATCATAGATATTTATTTCCTCCTCTTAATAGGAATCTTAATTTGTATAGATCCTAATTGGAATGTTTTATTCTTCAACTTTAATATATTAATCAATTTCTTCATTTAAGAGTTCTCTATACGTAAAAGTAGTTTTTGTAATAGAATCAGAGATTGCCTTAATTGAATTCTTAAAGTGATTCTAATTAGCTTCTTAAAATTATTGGCTATGTACATAAATAGCTTATTATGCACTATTAATATATGCTCTATTAAATTAATATGGAATTAGTAAATGAGCACTAGTAGTAATTACATCTTCTAACATACTTACACTTAGAATGGATAAAGTAACTACAGACATCAAGGATATGAAAATAAAAAATATCCAAGACGATATTAAGCGATAGAATTAATTCGGCATTTTAGAATTCATGTAAATTTTTTCTAAATTTTCTCTTTCTGCTTTTGACATTCGACTGGTTGTTGATTATTATTCATCTAAAACTCGTTTCTATTTATTTTATTTTATCTTCTTCACATAAACTTAACATTATTACTTCTATAATTTTGTTGGATCTTATATTATTTCCTGCTATTACTATTATTAATTTGAAAATTCAAACTCTAAATCATCTTCAAATTCTTTAATTCCATCATCTTGTAATCCATTCTTAGAAATATGTTTAGGATCACTTAATTCTTTTTATTTTAATTATTTTTCATTAACACTATCAAACATATTTTTAAAATATCGTTATTATCCAAACAAATCTTATGATTAATTCTTATTACTTAGCATTCCTCTTTCAGTATCTTTAGGTGTCTCTAATAAAATTCTTGGTGATTCAACTTAAAAAACAGGTTACATAGGCTAACTAAGTGAAATATTGAATTACAATGTTCCTTTTCCTTCTTAACCATCAAAATCTTCATTCATTTATGAATTGTATTAGATTTCTTTATTAAAAAAAGAAGTTGAAACTCGTTAGTCTGTTTATGTGTTATTATGAGTTATTGTTAAAAATTAAGTTATTGTTGAAACAGTTTAATTAATTTTAGATTAAGTCTAAGATATCTCTTATATATCTATTATAAAATAAGCTAAATTATTTTATTTCTAAAAATCAGAACCAACAAAATTACAAAATTCTTACGATAAACCTATGAAATTCTTTTCAAACTTTTACAATTTAAATCTTAAATGAAACCCTTTTGATGATTTTTTATAGCTCTTTTATTCTTAAGCAAATTCTTTCATTAATTCTCTATCTCTTTTATCAAATAATTCTAACTTATTATTAGTTGTTGACATCTTTGATAATTCTTTTTCATACTAACTACCTGTAGAATGATTTTGATATTATTAACATAAATTTATCATATTTGAATTTGTATAGATTGATGATTTTAAATCTTCAAACTCTAAAACAGCAAAATCATTACTATCTTTATATTAATTATTTTAGTATTATTCTATTTCATCTAAAAGTTTATAAAAATTTGGAAATAAAACCTAAACTATTCCATATTTAAGTAAATCTGAATATGTAAAAAGTTTTTCAGAATCAGATAATAAGGAGAATAAATTTTCACTCATACCTAATATAGAACCACGTGAATCAAACATTATACAATCTTAAAATGAAACCTTCAACATACAAACATTAAAAATACAATCCTCAAAATTTGAAAAATCGTTTCTTAAAGATAATACAATAGGGAATATAAATTAGTTTCTATTTTAAACAAAAACTTTTCTATTATCATGTAATAAGTAAGTTGATCCATTTTAAATATATTATTGAATAATTTGATTATGATAATTTGCTATAAAAGGTGGCATCAATTAATTGATATTTGTGATTTTAGTTTATTCATCTCGATTATAATTAAAAAAAGCTTCTATTCTCTCTTCATTTTTACTTATAATATACCCTAAAGATTTAATAAGGCCTGTCTTAATTAAAGTAAACTATCCCCTCATTAAATTAGAATTATTCAAACCATTGTCTTCTCTATATTAATCTCTGCTCTTTAATTCTTATATTTTCTACTCTAAAATATTTACTCTTCCCATAGAATTAAATATTATTAAATAACTTAATTAAAGGATTTTTATAAATCCAACATTTTCAAAATTTTATGACAGTTGAGATATCTCATGCTATATCTTTTTATTTTAAATTACAATTTCCATCATTGGTTTATAAATCTTTTTTAGAAATACTAAAATTGATTCACTACCTTTTTCAATTATTTGCCAAACAATTATCTTTTGAGTCAGAATTTGCAGGAATGATTTTTAATAATTAGAACAAGAATCTTCTAGTTGTATTACAGTTTCTAAAGATAAATCTTCAACTAAAGGATCTTTTTAATTACTTTCTTATTAAATTTTATTGAAATAAATCAATTTAAGTTCTAATTTCTAAATAATTAAATTAATTACTTTAATAATTGATGGATAAACTAATCTGTAAAAGTAACTTAATTTTGTTTTATTTTTATAACAAAATAGTTTAAGAAAATAATAACTCATAAATTTATTACCTGAGTATTTTTCTAAGAATGAAGCATACAAATAATTTAATCTATCCTTTCTTTATAATTATGGATGATTTAAAGTCTAAAAAAATAATGAATCCAATAATTTAACAATATCATCAAATTTTAAATTCAATTCTCTTAGGCATCTATAATTTAGATTCATCTCATTATTACCATTTACAATACTTTAACAGTTGCTATCTAATTTTAAATTTTTCCCATATTTTTAACAATAGCATCCAATATTCTAGCAATAATTGATGTGATTTCGAATAGAGATATAAATCATCAATTTTTATTATTATAATGAATACATTTCAATCAATTCTTAAGAATAAATCCAGAAATCTTGTATATTTCTATTTTAAATCAATTCAATAAATTTATCTTCATATAAACTTAATCCTAGGTGATAAGATAAAGGACATAATCCAATAATAAGATAAATACTACAATTTTCTTGAATCAAATCATATGTAAATAATATCTAAATAAGGCAAGCCATCGTAAAAGCTAATGTACTACTCATATACCATTCGGTTAAATATACTGAAGGAAAAGGCATTTGTATTAAACTATCATAAATTGATGTTAAACTAAATAAAATAATGCAAATAACTATTGATAACTTAGATTAATTTTCTGGAAAGTATTATGAAATTGTAATTAATGCTTTCAAAACCTAAGAAATCTAAAATAATGATGTTTTCCTTTTGTATCTATTTATATCATTAAATTCATGGCTTTGACAAATAAAACAGGATATTTATGAAATTACAAGAGAGCAAGAACCAAAAACTATTCCAACAAATTTTTGAATATAAGAATTTGAAAACTAAATAATTATCTATAGTTTTACTATAAGTTGCGAATTAAATTCTAAATATATTTCTGATAAAATGAATGAATAAAAGCTTAGCCAAACACTATAGAAACTCCTAAGACTTTAATATATTGGGCTACTTCAAATTAATTTTAAAAATTACTTAATTTCTCTACCAAAATTTTATTAAAATGAATTCAATATTAGTAATACAATTATAATTAAAATTGGTAAATGCAGCAGTATATAAAACACCCAAAATGTTGAGTCTGTATTTTCTTATTATATAAATTGTATTATGGTTGTATACTATTTTTGATAAGTAATTTACTGATGAAAATTTTGCAAAATAGCTCATGAATGTATCAGTCTAGCTTTAATTAATAAATAATTTGGAGTATGGTTAGACAAAGTAAACAAATATTCCTAAAGCATAAACTGAATGTGGTATTTTAAAGTTTGTTGGATTAGCTAAAAACGAGAAAAGTGTGACTAAATTAGTATTGATAATTTTATAGATCATTTCGTTTATTATTATTAATATTCTTCATAATATTGATTATATTTTCTCTAAAGTATATAATAAGTAATTTTGAAATAATTCATTTATATAACACATAAAGCATTAATTATATATTTATAATTCATTTTTGCAATTTTGCTTCATTTGTTGGTGTGTGATTATTATTATGATTATTTTGCTGATTTTCTAATTCCATTAGATTGCTATTCCTTAATTTTTTGGAGTGATATGTTGGATCACACTCGTCAATTTAATTTTGTTATTGATTTTTGTTGTATAATCTATAAGCTATTTAAATGTGATAAGAATTCCTATTAAATTATTTAAACTCTTCTTTTTTTTTCGTTTAAATTTATTAAGGAGGCTATTAATGTTATTTTTTCTTTTTTTATTTCTTCACACCTTAAAATGATTAATCATAGAAACTTTTATTGATTTGAATGACAATTTCGTGAAATGTCTTGACTACATCTCTAAATTCTTGATCATTATATAGCTTTTATCGAGCGGAAATACATCCCTCCTAGCTTTTATTACTCATTAATTTTATAATAAATGAACTTAAGCTCTAAAAATAACAAATTCAATAAAAAAATAACAAGAATTTAAGTAATAATCAATAAGACAATTTCAAAAAATAATGTTTTATTTCTAATCTATATTTAATCATTTCTATATTCCTTTTTCTTCTTCTTGCTCTTCTTCAATTTTGTACATAAAATTAATTACCTCAGAAACTTATCCTTTATTTATTAAATTATTTATAGTTGTTTGGGCTGTTTTATCTAGATTTGGTGTATTAGCATAAGTTTCACAATTCATAATTAAGGATGGTTTAAAATTGTTTAATTTTGGAGATATTGTTTAAGTATATTAGTCAAATTCTGAGGTTTGAAATTTTTTCATATGTTTTCGAGGTTAAAGATTTTCAGGGGAAAAAGCATTTTATTAAATTTAAACAAAAGATTTCATATTTTACATAACAGGTATGCTTAATTGTTTTGTATTTTCATCTTCTACAATGTCATCTTCGAATTTTTAAAAAATAATATTAACAACTTTAGAATTGAAATTTTAAGTTTGAAATACAGGATTTTATTTTGTAACATTTGATTATTAGAATTTAGTTTTTTTGTTTTCATATTGTTTTTAGAAGTAAGGATGTAAAAGTGCATTTTAGGCAGTAATTCTTTCTTTTGGATTAGCTTTAAGTAATTAAGATATTAAATCAATAGCTTCTGGAGGAGTTTTATAAATAGAAAGTATATCTAGAACTACATTACATTTTTTATTCAATCTTAAAATCTCTTGATAATCACTTCCAGGAAACAGTTCTTTTCCAGTACATCTTGAATATAAATAAATTGAATACAATTTATAAAAAATACAGCCCACACTAAATTCATCACAAATAGAAGTATATTTTTAAGATAAATCTTTTAAATTAGCAATTTCTGGTGCAACATAACCAGGTGTTCCACATTTAGGGAATGGAAAGACTTCAATATTTTGAGATGTTGCTAAGCCAAAATCAACAATTTTAAGGGATTAAAGTTGATTATTTTTTTTAAACATGATGTTTTCTGGTTTTAAATCACGATGCATAATACCTTAAGAATGCATATAATCAATTGATTATAAAATTAACTTTAATATGTAATGCTAATTACTTTAATAATTATTTAAATTTGTTCTTATTCAAAAATTGATTATCTTTAAATCAGTAATTCATGCAAACTTTTTCCTTCTAAATATTCTAGAATAAGATAAAATGTGTTTTCTCCTTCATAAAGATCAACTAATTGAATGATGTTTTCATGTTTAAGTCTTTACATTAATTGAATTTCATTGAACAAAGCATGCTAATAATTTAAAAATAATTTACATATCCTCCATCTTCTTACAAATATCTCTTATCAACACATTTAGATGCAAATTAAGATTAATCGTCTTTTTTAGTTACTAAATAGACCTAAGTAAAAATGAAATTATTACTTTAGAAGAACCACCTTTACCTAACATAGAGATAGGAGAATAGAAATCACTTATATCTTTAAACATGATTTAACCCTGCATTAAATCCTTAAGTTGTTACAAATCTTTTGTTGAGGCAAAGAAATATTTTATTTCATCCTTGTATTTGAATCCAAATTATTCAAGAATAGCTGTCTTAGGTTTTGTTATCCAATGAATTTTGGATGTTAAACTTAATTATACAATATATTTTGGGTTTTATTGTTTGGGATTCTAAGAAAGGATAAATAATTACACTTGAAAGAATCAAAATTTTAGGAAGCATGTAAACATAGTATTTAGAATCAATAACTAAATGTTTACGAGAGCATTAAAAGGTTATGAGAACTTAATCATAATTAATTGGCTGCATTTATTAATTATATAAATGCGAGTATGATTACAAATTAAATAACAATGTTCGTTGATATATAATAATTATCATCTTTTTAAAGCTGGTATAAATGATGCTTATTGTTTGAATGTATTCATTTTTTCATCTTTAATCTTTGCATCATCTTATAAGGCAGTTTTACGAGCATTTGCAAAAGTTTATCCAAAAATATTGGCTGCAACTACTCTTTTTTACATACCTGTATATCCAGGTAATGGATCACCAAGAGGGACTACAATGAATTTAATAAATACTTGGAACTTTTTATCCAGGGTCTCCATGGAATTTATGAGTAGCTTCATCTATAGTTTCTGAATGTTATTCATATTCACTCTTCCAATTAGTAAGAGATTCTTTCAATCTGGGATTGCCCTACTCATCTAATCTGAAGAAATTTTTAGCAGTTTCAGTTTAAGGCTATTAAATTCTATAAATATTTGAATTACTATCTTGTATTCTATAGGTTTTGGTTTCACACCAACTATTTCAGCAGCCGTTCTAAGTTATACCTTATTCTAATTTTGATATGTGTCTTATAATTAAGATTTATATCTTAATTCAGGTGGTACATCTTATCCTTTGTAATAATCATCATGCTATATTTGATATGTTATTTTCCCATAAGTTTAAGCAAATAGATTTTCAGCTTTCATTGATTTAATCTCTCCAGCATATCCTGAATAAATTCATATAACTCATTACCTGGAATATGATTTTATGGTTTTTCTTCTTAATAATATCCAACTTACTATTCAAAAAAGCTTTTAGGTATATGTCCTGTATATCCAGGAACTATATATTACAATCTTGTGCCTTCAAACATTATTAGATAATAAATAAAATAATAAAAATTATAATGTTTTCTCATGCCTTTCTCATCAATAAATATACTCTTTAATCATCAGCAAATTTATCTAACTCTTCTGATTTACCACTTAACTTTAGAATTAAACCACCAAAAGAAGCAAAAACATTTATCATTTTATTTTGTTCTTTAATCATTTTAAATACTCGACCAAACATTGCATATTAAAATTTTTCCAACAATTCATTGTCGATTTATGAAAATTCAGGTTTATATTTACCCTATAAATATTGAACAATCTTTACTTAATCCATTTCTTATGAAATTCCTAAAGATCTAACAATAAGGACTCTATATTCACTACCTTTATCTATTGGATAGATATCTATATTGACATCTAATTCCATATCAACTTCCCCTGACTTTGATTTGCATTTTATTCTTGACACTCTTTTGAATGACTATCCAGCCTAATCAATATCCTCAACCTTGAAATATCTATTCTATTATAGATTTCTTACTCATCAATTAGTCTCTTTTCAGCAACAGCCATTTATAAAATTATTTAAATATAATGTACTAAATATTTACTTACAAATTTATATAAAATTATGTTTATATAGTATATATACTTCAAATTCAGTATTACTCTTAAACAATAGATCCCTTTATCTTTAATGGACCTTTGCTTTTACAATGATGAGAACTTATTCCAGATCCTGGAGTTTTCAATAATATATTCATTTAGCTTAATTTATTTTAATTATTCGAGTAAGTTTTACAAAAAATAGCAGCCTATTTTATTAAATTGCCATCATTTGTAGATTTTTTAGCACTCTGATATTAATTACAAGACTGAAGTATCTTTCTAAAATCATTGTTGTTTATAGACGAATTTAGACTTTTACAAAAATTCTCTTTTAATTTTAAAGGAGTTTCTTATTTAAAATTATTATTATCCACTTTTCTTATTGACATAGGAGTCATCATTAATGATCTTTGATTTACTTAGCTAGAACCATTTACTTTTTTTAAAGGACTCTGACGGACTCCTATTGATCTATGAGAATTTAATTATTCTCTTCTCTATCCATGTACAGATATTGGTCGTTGTATCTCTACAGATTGAGGCCTAATCTAACTGAGCCTTTTTATTAATAATTCTTAATCAAAATTTTATAACTATAGCATAAAGCCTAATAGAATGCAATTAAATATACCTGGATTTGGATTTATTAGAGGTCTAACTTATTATAAATGTAGAAATGATTTCTACAATGAGAAATTACAAATTTGCATCAAATATGCTATTATTATTGTAGCACTTCTACTAACCCCCACATAACAATGCACTAGAACATTACATCTTTATCTATTCTCTTGAATGAATTAAATCGATTCATCAAAATACTTTTTAATTGGGTCATGGCTTGTATCATTCAAATACAGAATCTATCATATTAAATTTAAATACTTTGTGATTTGCATCTTAGAATTATAAATTAGCCATTTCTGATCCAACAGTAAGTATTGCGCTTATTTGATTCTAATGTAATAAATAAGGATTTATTGCGGCCTCTATTCCGCTTAGATATAATGCTCCAAATTCTTAAGTTCTAGGTAAAATACAATCCATAACACCAGAAGGAAAAGGTGGTCGCTATTATAACATCTATATTTTATAAATTTATTGATATATTTTATTTATCAGTCTTTATATGAGTACTCAATTTCATTTATTTTCAATCCCGATAAACATCTAGTACATATTTTTAAATATATCTAACTAATACAATAAATGAAAAGGAATATGATGAAAAATCTTTTAGGAGTTATAAATAGTGCTCCTTATTATTTTATTATTTTATAGTGTTAATGATAATATAAAAATTCATTAAACAATATTTGAAAGTTAGTTATTTTATCATAAAAGGCTAATTTATATCTAACATTCAAGAAGAGCTAATTCAACATATTAAAATTAATTAATATTTATTTTAATAGCAATTATTAGGTAGTATTAAAAATAGAAAGATACTGAAAAATATTAACAAAATTATCTTTGAATACAATACTATTATGAAAGAAATAATAATAAATGTAAATAATATAAATATCTAGTTCCTAAAAATGATTAAATAATTATAATTAAGCAGGTCCCTATACTCCAGTTCTATAATAATCAAACCTTTTTATAAATTTACAAAGTACTTTAATGAGTTCAATTCTGTACAATAATGATAAATTAATTTTAAGATTCAAATCAAAATGCATAGAATAAAGAAAGAATCAACTTTTATAATAATTCATACACACATGCATTATTAAATAATCACTCTTTCATAAGGATTGTTCATTTATGCTGAGTGTAAATTCATTATCTATGTATTTTTCATCTATTTCATATGATTTATCTTCTTTAAGTAAATTTACCCTTAATTATGGCTTCTCAAAATCTTCAGTCCCTGTAAGGAAACATTTAAAATTCATTAGACTTAGAGTTTTTTATTATGATAATGCTATTTAAATTTAATTATTTACTATCTTTCCATTTTCTATTCTATTTAGGGTGATGAGAAATTAATTCAAATTAAAATAGCCCTTCATCTTCTCCAACATATTGAATCTTTATTGCCATATCGAAATAATCAGATTGTGTATATGGTATAAATCTTTCTTAATTAAAGGCACTCTAATAATTATTATTTCACTAATACCATAAATTGAACTTTAAACAATATTGATTTTTTCTTCATTTAATAAATGTCATATAAACTTTTTTTTATGTTTAAGATTTTTTATAATGATTACTGTCTACAATATAATTCTTCTAACTTTTCAAAATAAGAGTCATCTAAAACTCCTAAATTCTAAAATGTTTCTTTGAAATTAAATGATTATTTAATAAAAATCACTAGAATATTAAAATTTATTACATTAGCCTTTTTAGACAACTTATCTGATTGAATTACGAAATTATAAATCTAAATTATTAATTCCATTATCAATTTAAATATTTTAATTATAATTATTACGCAATTCGTATAATTCTAAATCTTCATCTATTTTATCAGATAAATCTATAATATCAAGAAGTTTTATAGAATCAACTTTCAAATTAGTTGCAAATTAATGATTTTTAACACTGATTATTAATTTAAATTGCTAATCTTTGAATTCTTCAAAGGCATATAATATTAATACAAAAGGATGTTAAATTAAAAAATGTTAATCAACAACAACCTTATATGTATTACCCTTTTATGAGATAGCTGATCCTCTGAGACTAAATAACTCTGATGCAATCTTAACTTTTGATATTATTGTCAATTCCATTTCTGTAATTTCCACTGGTAAATCACTTACTGATAGTAAGATAGGAGTTCCTATATTTGTAATAGTTGCTATATTTTAGATATTTATCAATGGATGCATTAAATGCAATCTTAATTGTTAAACTTTTTAAGAAACATCAAAGTATAATTTAAAAGGTCCTGAAAGAAAAGTTACTTTTCTAATAGAATATAAGCCTCCTTAGTTAGAATTTAATTATTATTTAAACTCAAAGTTAACTTTCTTTTCTCCTCTCAACTATTTTATGTCAGAAGTTAATCTCAACTTTTTTTTATCTTTAACACTTACTACTTTATTCTTTAATGTAATTGTAAAGATTCCATCGCACTCAACTTACAAATATTTTAATATTGAAAAGTTAAATGCAAAGTCATTATAAGATACTCTTCGTCTAACTTAAAATGTTTCAAAATATCCTATATATGATGATTTCAATTTAGTTAAAGGAAGCTTTAAAATTTAAAAAAGCTTTGTATATCTACAACCAGATAAATTTGATTACAATGTATCCTTAAAAGTTTCTTAAAATGATAATTCCATTTTTTCTCTATAATAATATATCAATTTATGAACAAGTAAACTTGAATTTAGATTTTTAAAATCAATATTATTATATTTTAAAGCCTTATCTATATTATCTTAATTTAATTCTAACTTAGGATATACGTTTTTCAATTTCAAGATCATGAATTAATATTCAAATATTACTTTATGTAAATTTAATTGTATAGCAATTGAAATTATATCATTTACAATTTAACAATAAAATTCTGAAAAATCATGTAAATTGTGAATTTAACCTTTCAATTTAGTATCACTTAATAAATACGTTTTAAATAATTCTTTAGGATCTTATTAAATATCTCTAGTAATAATAACATCATCGAATTTAATTTCATTTATTTATTCAAGAATAGTTTGTTCTAATAATTCACATTATACAGATAATGGTAGTCTTCTTACATGATTAAATTAAATTTTATAAAGTATATATCCTAATTTCTCAACAATATTTAATAATTAAAATCTAATTTTTAACTAAGATTATAATTATTGCAATAATAGATTTCCAGATATATTCTATGGAACAGAAGTCATTAAATTAATGCTGCCTCTCTTTGATATAATTGATGAATACCATATTAAAAAATTGCCAAATTAATAATCCTAGCCCCCATAATTCTTCTTCATCTGCATTAAATTGCTACTTCTATTTATTTTTTTCAATTTATTAATGAACAACTTATTCAATTTCTTCAGAAAATTACAAAATCTTTTCAACACCAAATATTTAATTTCCTCCTGAAAGCAAATCAATTATCTTTAATAATTCTAATAAATACCCTATATTATATCAATACTAAATAATCTAAAATAGTAGATTGAGATTCATCTCCTGATTCCTCAAAATTTCTAATATTAGATTCAACAGATTTTCTGACTAGGAAATCAAAAGGATGTATAGCATTAAAAATGGGTTATATTGTTTTTGGGTATTATTACATAAACAGTTTTTCTTATTCTACATAGATCTCTATAGCTTCTTATTTTAAACTTATGTTTTCATATATTTTTGCTTTTTTTTCTTTTAGTGCATATAACTTGTAAAAACTGAATGATTTTTCATGTCTATTTATCAACTAAGATATTTATACATTAACTGTTCTTAGTCATAAATTTAATTCTCCAAAATATCAAATTAACTCTCCAAATATTATTAAATTGATAATTAGAAATGATATAAAAATTCTCTCATACATTATTCTTTATTCAATTCTCTTTCTGAATCATAGAAAATAATTTTTTAAACCTTTTCCTTTGGAAATTGCTTTACAATCTATAGGTCTTAACAAATTAACTCATGAGTCTACTGGAGGATTTTCTCATTCAATATTATTTAATTTTACATTCACTTTCTCATCTACTCTTAATAAACTTGGAAAAAATAAAATAATGCTATTTTTTGCTGGATAATCATCAAAATATTTCATTAATCTTTATCTTGCAGTATTTTTATATCCTTCATAAGAATTAGTGCTCAAAAAATAAATATATATTAATGGTTTGTATGTTGGTTAGTTTTTAAATTAAACATTAAGTATGCCTATCTTGTCTTTAAATTAAAAATTTTTAATTGGAAAATATGGGGCTGTTAATTCTAAAAAATGAGAATATAAGCTATACTAATCCACTACCTATATATCAAGCATTTATTAATATATTTCAATAAATAATTATTATTATTATTCTATTTTTTTCTTTTCACTTCTGATTAACTCAACTATTCAACCTTAATTCTTTGAAAATAAGATAAGATGAAAAAAATATTAAATAAATGGACTAAAAAAAATAAAATTCTCAAAATTTAAAGCAATTTTAGTTAAAATTTAATTAATTATTGCCCAAATATGATGTTATATTTATATTTATATGTCTTAACATAAAGATTGTTGTAATAATTTACTAAATTTTAATTATATAAACAAATCAGAAATAATAAAAACATGATGATTTTATTCTTTATCTATCAATTTGTAAGTTGCTATGAGGAAATAGTAATTTAAAATACAAAAGGACTTAAATAACTAGATATGGAATCCTTGAAAGATGAAACAATAGTTTTTGAAGCCAAATCTAGTTAATATTAAGTAAGCATACTGTTGATTTGTGACTAAGTTCCTAGCTTTTAGGAATTTGAACAAATTTTTAATGATGAAAAGTATTATCATTTATATGAAGCTTTGGATGTATTAGCGATTGGAACGCTTTTGATTATTCTGAAAGTTCCTAAAAGTTAATGCTAATTAGAAATTCAACTTAGAATATTAATTCATATTCTCAAAATGTGAAATATACAAATAGTAAATCTCCTTATGTTGGAATATTTTCTTAAAAATATGATTTAGTAACAATTTACATTTATCCTAAATAATCTAACGATTGCATAATGTATATTTGTTCAGTATGAAATAGGAATTGCAAAAATAAAGGTGAATGTAAATAAAATAGTTGTTTCTGTTAATAAGGGTATTTTGGTTATGATTGTAAATACTAAGGTTCAAACATTTTTGATGAAGAGTATCTAATTAAATTAAACTACTATTATGTAGATTTAGAATCTTTAAAGGATTCTAATTTTTCTATACAGTTTAAGAAGTAAGGCAGATTTAGTTATTAATGTCTTTCAATAAATCCATATTTTAGAAAGGCTAATATAATTGATAGAGATATCATTGAGATTTCAAAAGAAGAAATTAATAATTGTTTGCAATAAGGATAATAACAATTAGGGTTAGCCAAATATTACGTTATTTAAATTTACTAAGAAGAGTTTCTTTATATCTCAAGATAGGAAAGTGAAAATACAAATGATTACAAAACAATATTAATTTCTATTTTATCTACTTGTCTCACAATATTATGTTGCATAATCTTTTGTGTTTTCAGATGTTATAGATCTAAAAGGACAATTACAAATCCAAATTAAAATAGAATATTAATCAATTTGTAAACAAAAATAACTAATAATGATTTTAATTAGGAATTAGCTATATTAATACCCTCAATAGAATATTCAGCTATTTTAAAGAAGCATCCTTAAATAAGAAATTTTAATGAATGTGCAATTTGTTTGGATAATTTTAGATAAGAATAATTAGTTCGAGTAACATATTGTTAACATGTTTTTCATTATAAATGCTTGGATGCCTGGATGAAAAAAAATTTAGTAAGAAAATTGAATATAATAGAATTGTCCAATCTGTAGATCTGCATAAGATAGATAAACAATAAAGTTATAAGAAAAACTATAAACTGCTATATCCTAAAATACCGAATTTAATCCAGAAGCTACATCTCAAAAATTACCAGTTTCTAGAGTATATGGTGAAACTCCTATGTTAACAAATCATAGGTCAGTTGGATCTTCAAAACTTATACAAAGTAACATTTGATTTATTTTTTATTATTGGTTAATATATTTTAATAAATATTTTGAAATTGAGAAAATGTCATATAATTTAAAGTCAATCATTTTATGATTGTTAAGCAGGAGGAGGTTTAAGTTAAGGATCTAACATATGTCCATTTTCAATTTCTCTTTCTTATAATTATTAATGTGAATCAATCCATCTACCCTTTCCAAATTTAAGACCATTTTCAAATATTCCATGAAATTCTGATTTATCTGAATATTTCATTTTACCAGGTCCATTTTTTAATCCATATTTAAATTCTCCTTCATATTCTCTTTTATCTGGCCATTTAAGTTTACCTAATCCATGCATTTAACCATTAAACCATTAACCCTCATAAACAATTTTATTATAATATTTAAGTTCTCCATATCCACTATAAAGATCTTCAACAAAATCACCAGTATAAACACTTCCATCACTATATATAAATTAACCTCTTCCATGTTTATGTCCATTATGAAATTCTCCTGTATAAATAGATCCATCTGGATGTTTCTCAATTCCATAATCATCATCTCCAATAAATATTATTCCATTTGCATATGTATATTAATTACCAACTTATATATCACCATTTGGATAAATTATTCTTCCATCTAATAATGCATCATTTTACCATTCTCCTTAAATTATTGTACCATTTTATAATAATAATATTCCTAATCCATGTTTCTTACCATGAATCCAACATCCTTCATAAATATCACCATTTTCCAATCTAAATGGGGGATATCTTTTAAATTTCTTTTTTACAGTTTTCTTATCAAATTATATTCTATAATCTTCTGCTATCATATCATAAAATTCTGGACATAAAGTTGCATTTTTTGGCCTATCTATTTCATCCAATTTTTTCATTTTCTTTTCATCTTATTGATTCCTAAAAACCTAAAATCCTGATTATATTTTTTATAGTCCTCTCTATATAGCAGTGAAACGATTTTCATCAATCTCTTCCTCTTATGACTACCTATTACCCATATTTTCTAATTATTATTATTTTTTATCAAAACCTAATTTTATTATTTTATTTGTTTTTATTTTTGTATATTCCTAACATCTCACTATAATCAACATTTTTTTATATTTTATAATTCTATTTTGAAACATAAAATAGTTATCAAAATTTAGTATAATAAAATCTATTTATCCAATAAATAATTTATAATATTAATTAGAATTTAACTACTATCATATAATTCAGATGCAAAATATCTGATATTAATAAAAATATATTTTTATTTAATAAATATTTTTATATATCACTACTTTAAACGGATATCATTATGATGTTTCAAATTTCTTTAAATAGAACTAGCCACCCTTTATAATTCATCCAAATAGCTAAATTTGATATCAATAATTACTTTCTTGGTAAGGTTAATAATTCACTTGCTGGTGTCAAATCTAATAAATTTTAAATCTCTACTAATCTTTAAATTGGAACAGAATTACTTAGTTATGTGCTATTAAAATAATATTGATATTTACCCTCTTTCAGGATAAAATTTTGAAGTTAATGATCCTGATCTCACTAGATTATCTTAATTATTTTTATTTTAAGGTGATAAAAAAGAGTATTTGGATCCAGATTAATCATAATAAGTACTTTTAAAATCTTATGCTCCTGTAGATAAATGAAATTTTCCAGTTTATTCTTAAGAACCAATCTATTGCATTCTTAGCATAATTTTATATTATACTTTTTTTTTAATCCACTAATTTTTGCAGGGGAAGATTGAGATGGCTACTCAGAATTTTATGTTGGTTTTCCAAATAAAATATCTAAAGTACGAAGAGTATTTTAATGTTTTCTAGGGCTTTCTTTAGTTAATTAACCACCTTTTGGACTTAAAGGTTTTTATCCCAATTTTTCGAAATGGTTATATTTATCAATGATGGAAGTTCGTACTTCACTTTTCAATGCTTGATAGTTTATCTATTATAGAATATTACTAAAACCTCTTTGTTTGCAAGGGAACTAGTATAAGAAGAAGGTTTTTCAGATATATCTGACACATGAAATATCGACATTAAAATTTATTTATATTATATATATTTTATTTCAATATAATTTTATTTAATACTTATTTCTATAAGATTTACTAAAAAATAAATTTATAATAACTCNGACTACCTATTACCCATATTTTCTAATTATTATTATTTTTTATCAAAACCTAATTTTATTATTTTATTTGTTTTTATTTTTGTATATTCCTAACATCTCACTATAATCAACATTTTTTTATATTTTATAATTCTATTTTGAAACATAAAATAGTTATCAAAATTTAGTATAATAAAATCTATTTATCCAATAAATAATTTATAATATTAATTAGAATTTAACTACTATCATATAATTCAGATGCAAAATATCTGATATTAATAAAAATATATTTTTATTTAATAAATATTTTTATATATCACTACTTTAAACGGATATCATTATGATGTTTCAAATTTCTTTAAATAGAACTAGCCACCCTTTATAATTCATCCAAATAGCTAAATTTGATATCAATAATTACTTTCTTGGTAAGGTTAATAATTCACTTGCTGGTGTCAAATCTAATAAATTTTAAATCTCTACTAATCTTTAAATTGGAACAGAATTACTTAGTTATGTGCTATTAAAATAATATTGATATTTACCCTCTTTCAGGATAAAATTTTGAAGTTAATGATCCTGATCTCACTAGATTATCTTAATTATTTTTATTTTAAGGTGATAAAAAAGAGTATTTGGATCCAGATTAATCATAATAAGTACTTTTAAAATCTTATGCTCCTGTAGATAAATGAAATTTTCCAGTTTATTCTTAAGAACCAATCTATTGCATTCTTAGCATAATTTTATATTATACTTTTTTTTTAATCCACTAATTTTTGCAGGGGAAGATTGAGATGGCTACTCAGAATTTTATGTTGGTTTTCCAAATAAAATATCTAAAGTACGAAGAGTATTTTAATGTTTTCTAGGGCTTTCTTTAGTTAATTAACCACCTTTTGGACTTAAAGGTTTTTATCCCAATTTTTCGAAATGGTTATATTTATCAATGATGGAAGTTCGTACTTCACTTTTCAATGCTTGATAGTTTATCTATTATAGAATATTACTAAAACCTCTTTGTTTGCAAGGGAACTAGTATAAGAAGAAGGTTTTTCAGATATATCTGACACATGAAATATCGACATTAAAATTTATTTATATTATATATATTTTATTTCAATATAATTTTATTTAATACTTATTTCTATAAGATTTACTAAAAAATAAATTTATAATAACTCAATCATTATTTTAACAAGGATTTTATTTGTAATTGAGAGCTTTATTTTACAACATTTTATAGAAATCATTCTTTATAAAAATTAAATTAAAATCATTTCTGGTTTTCATACTTGAATTTAACTTTGATGAATATTTTTTTTTATTTAAGCTAAGTTTTGAAATGAATTTTCAATTAATAATTCATTTTTTTGATGAAAAGATTCCTTAAATTAAATTTGAACATTGACAAAAAGATTACTTATGAATAATCACATAGAAAGTGCTTTTTTTAAAGAGATTATGTTAAAATGGAATGGATGTAATCTAAACTTCCTAAAATGCCATCAGAGTTTGAAATTGTTTAGATTGTCATTATGTAAAATAAAAAGAATACAAAGAAAGCATATACAATCATGATGCATGAGAATATTATAATTAAATAAAAGAAAGATGTAAATAATTACATTATTTTAGGGCTCTTTGTGTTGGATTGACTATGAAAACTCAATTTTGGATTTTATCAATGACCCAGAATATGGTGATGGAATAAAATTACAAAAATGTTTTGATGAGATAGAAATTTATGGAGAATTAGAAAAAATGCTTCCATTACTTAAGAGATATACAATCTAATTAGAATTTACTTAATAATATCATTTTTTAAAGAAGATTAATTCTTGTGATAAAACTGAGGTAATAAATTTAATTTATAATAATTAGGTCTTTAGAATAAGGTCTAAAAAAGATAGAAATGATTATTAATGTAAAATATTTTATAAATAACTTCTCAATTTTACTACAGAAAAATAAATAGAAAAAGAAATATATATTTTAAGAAGAATAAATGATGAAAATATTTAAAAATATTTTGAAACTTTTGAAAATTAAGAATAAATAATAATAGTAGAAGAATTGATTATAGGTGGGAATTTCGATAGTTATTTATAAAAATGGCCATTATTGTCAGAGGAAAAGGCATCTAAATTTTTTTTTAAATTAATTAAAAGTCTTGCATACCTTCATTCGAAAGGGATAATGCATAGAGATTTAAAACCAGAAAATATTGGATTAAGATTAAATGGGAATCTTGAAAATCCTTGCATTTGTTATTTTGGATTAGCAGATATAGTTAGTCTAGAAAATGATTCAGATGAAGAAAATGAGACTCCTAGATATTTATTTTAAAGATGTGGTACTCCTGGATTTGTAGCTCCAGAAATTTTAAAGAATTAATAATATGATTGCAAAGTAGATGTATATAGTTTAGGAATAATGATGTATTATTCTTTAACAGGAAAAAAACCTTTCGATTCAGAAGATTATTAATAATTATTAGAAAGGAATGAAGAAGGATAAGTTGATATTTCAATTTTAAAATTAAGTATGGAAGGATTGATGCTCATTTAAAGCATTCTTAAATCTGATCCAGATGAAAGAATTTCAGCTTAAGTTGCTTTAAATCATATTTGGTTTAAAACAGAAAAACTTTCAAAGTTGATGGAATTCAAAGCTCACAAAAATATCAAAAAAATTTAATTTAAAAGTCTTTAATACCGTAAAAGTAATCAAAACTCCCCTAAATTATTACCAATAGTTCTTTCGAAATAAAAAATTGATTAAACTTGTGGTAGTCCTGCTTAACGTTAATTTTCGAATGTTTAAAGAAATTCTACTAATCATAATCATCATTCAATTTTTCGTATTACTACATTGAATGGTAGTTTTAGTCCAAAAGAAGGTTTTTCATTTTCATAATACTTATATCATAACGGAAGACCATGCGATATCTCACCATCAATATTTGCAAAAACTTAGAGACCTTAATAATCGATATCCATTTTAATGCCAAATATTTTCCAAAAAAAAATAGAATATTAGTGAAAAAATGAACAATAAAATTGAATATAATTTTAGTTATTTTATATATGGGTTTCTCTTATGATTTGTAAGCATATGAATTGATTTTTATATTATAATTATTCAATTCTATGTTTTATTAGTCACATTAAGATTTACTAGTTTGAAAATATTTAGATTTTGGTTAAAAATCATCAATTAGATAACTAATATATAATTACTAGTAGTACACCATTTTATTATAGTTTTCTCACATATTTTCAAACTTTATTAAACGAGAAAGGTGATTAAGATTAGTTTAGAACCATGAGAGATCGGCTAAGAATATTTTCTCTTATCCTTAATTTTAAATAATAGAATTTATTGAAATTTATTATCTAAAAATTAGCGTAAGCTTCTTTTCAATTTAAACTTTTTGTATAAAGTCTATCTAGTCAGGTTCATTAGAATCTAAAAAACTATTATTTCAAATAAGTATAATGAAGAAATACCTAGATATTAAATAGTTAAAATTATTTTGTATCTTTGAGGTATCTCTCTTAAAATGAAGTGTTTTCTTTTTATTAACACATTTAGTTTATCTCAAATAAGGATGTTTTAGATTTTAGAAATTTGAAAAATTCAATTTTTCTATTAGAATCAACAATTATTATTAATGTAGCATAAAAGATATTTATATGTTTCTATATTTTATAATGATTGATAATACTTTATTAGGATATGCAATGAAAATTATAATAATATTTTTTTCAGTTTGCCATTTTAAAATGAAACACATACAACTGAAATTTATAAACTCTAATCCCTCTATAGTTTAATATAAAATTTGATCCAAAATAATGGAATAATTTTATTTTAGCCTAAGATGCTAAGTAATTATTATCATTATTTGTTGTATTTAACTTAAAATAATAATATATAGTCTTAATTCTAAATTTTTTATTTTCACAGTCTTTAACAATTAATGATTTTGTACATAATTAATCTTAGAAATACTTAGGATTAAAATTGATATTTAAGTATAATAAATTCATATAGTTTGAATATATATGAATAATTATTAAGAAAAAATTGGTTTATTTAGCATCAATACTGTTAGTCCAAAAGAATGGCAATTAAACGCTGATTTAGATGTAGAACTTTAGGCTAAACCAATAGAAACAGATAATCTTGATCTTCTTTTGAGTCCTTTAACTAAAGTTTCAAATTAAGCGAAATTGTTTTTTGATTATGAAAAAAGATCACATGTTAGTTAACTTTCAATATTAGGAAATAACATGATGGCTTACTTTAATCTTAAGAAATTTTTATAAAAATTAAGCAGAAATAGAGAGAATTTTAAAAAGCTATCATAAAAACATTTAGATGTTATAAATGATTAAGCCTCTGATTAGACAGTGTTATTAAATAGTAATAAACATAAACCAAAATTAAAAATATTTGATTTTCCAACATTACTTTCTTAATTATCAAAGAAAAACTCATTGTTAACAACTTGGAAAAGAAGCATCCTTGAAGATTTAAATAAAATTCCCTTAATACATCCAGAATCTACAAAAAAGTTAGTATGGGATTATTTTATGACTGCATTACGAATAGTTTTAATGATTCTGTTACCTTTAGAGATTGCATTTTAGCCAGGAATCGTATTTGATGAAGCTTCAATTTTTACATCTGTAACAATTTTATTAACAATATTGGATATGATAGTACGTTTGAATACAGTTTATTATGAAGATGGTAAGGCAATTAATGATAGATGGAAAATATTTGAATTAAAAATCCAAGAATGTATAATATTTGATTTGATAGCTATATTTTCATTAACAATAAATTTTGGAGTAGTTCTGAGAAGTATTTTACCATCATACAGTTTATAATTTAAATATGTTTATGAAGTAATAAATAAAAGTTAAGAGTCTTCTTATTTAAGTAAACCAATTTAAGGCTTAATGAAATTAATATGGTTTATATTAACCCTATTAACAATTTTACATATTTTTAGTTGTATTTGGTTTTTAATAAGTAAGAATACATATGGTGATAATTGGGTTAAAAATAAGGAGATAGATTAAAGTGAATGGGCAACCTAATATATGGAAGCTTTATATTTTTCAACAGTAACAATGCTTACAATAGGTTATGGAGATAGTGTTCCTTAGAATTAAGTTGAGAAATTGGTTTCAATATTATTCATTCTAATAGCATGTTTATGGTACTCTTATGCTGTCAATACAATAGGATAGATTATTAATGAATTGACATATAATTCAGAAAAGAGAAGATAAAGAATTAGAGTAATTAATGGTTATATGAATAAGAGAAAGGTTCCTTATTCTTTGTAATTTAGAATAAGAGAATATCTTAATTATAGATGGAAAGAAGAATAAGAAAGTGATATTACTTAAGAAGATAAACTTATAAATGAATTATCCAATGATCTTAAATAAGAATTGGAATTATTGGGTCGTAAGAATTTTATTGAAAAAAGTTAACTTTTATAACATTTTTCTAATGAATTCAAACGATCTGTTAGTATTCATATAAAAAGAATAATTATCTAACCTCATAATACTTTTTCAATGAAAGAAGATCCTTCTTTATGTTATTTAGAATCTGGATAGTTACAATATTTAATGACAGAAATCAAAGAAGGTTAATTTTTATAAGAGTATGAATATGTGAATGAGACTCAAACTTAAATTCCTTACAAAGCCATTGGTTATGTATCATTACTTATCATTTAAAAAGATATTTTCAATAAAATCTTAAAAGCTCATTAAATTGATAATGAAAAATTCTGTTAATTAAAAACATAATTAAATAGTGAATAATTTGGACATTTATATGAATGTAAATGGTGTAGTACACATGGTCATTCAACTAACTTTTGTCCTTTAGTTTCTTCTAGATTTGATAAAGAGGGAATTATTAAAAAACATTGTTTTCCTAAATAAAATTAAAGAGTATTTATTATAAGAAATAGAGTTAAAAATTATTTCAAATCTCTTTCTGAAATGGAAATGATTTAGGAATATGTTACATATTTCTAAAATTAAAAATAATAAGTTATTTAAGATTAACTTAAAAAATAACTTTCTGATAGCTAAATTAATTTACAAATTCAAAGAAAATAATCTATCTTTGAAGATGAATTTTAAGAATTTGGAATTAAACGAAAATCTATTCATGATAATGGCAGATCACCAATTCATAAATTAGGAAATTCAAGTATTGGACAATCTAATTTCTAATTTTTAGGAGTTATTAAACCAAAATAATCTGAATTGGAAAAGTCTTTTATGTTAAAAACTATCTAACCTAATATGATTGAAGAAGAATAAATTTCAAATATTAATGCTTTATATTTAAAATCAAAAAAAGAAGGCTAAGTTGATTATGATTTAGAAATGTTATATCTTAAATATAATTGCAATCCAGTTACAGATTTTGATCATATTAAAAGTTTTTAACATTACTTCCCAGAATTTAATATAGAATAAGTTATTAGGAAGAAAAGAGAAGTATATAAAAGCTATTTTAAAGAATTAATAAGGTACATGTTTTATCCTTTCTTATATGTTCTTAAATTTAATAAAATATCACACAAACGAAAATTAACAGGAAACTTTTAGTAAGTTAGCAATATAAATAAGTTCAAAAAAGTCCTCCTTAATAAGAAAAGAAGACAAACTTCTGTATTTCCTAATGGCTAACCTTTGATTAATAATTGAAAAATATTTGGTACATATTTATTCGATATCTATTTATCTACTCTCATAATTATTTAATTTATGATTTCTTATATTCTTTTTTAATCTTAGAATTTAAATAAAATATAGAGATAGAGTATGACTTTAATAAGCCAACTTGTTAATTAGAATTGGTATATATGACTTAGCAATCTTATTTCTATAAAAATTGTAATAAAAATTTTTAATTATTAATCGGATTGAGTATATTCCAGTAAAATACTTAACTATTTGTTACAATTAATTATTAGCATCTTTTCATATACAATAAAAATAAGCCTAGATTAATAGCTTAAGTAAATAGAGCAAATTCTATTAATTTATTTAAGTTATCAAGTTGATGCTCATCAATAAGGTTTATTATTTGAGCCAATTATTGAGTTAAAATTGACTAAAATAATGAGCTAAAGAGAGTGAAATCTCTTTTGATTTCAGATTGTAATAAGAAAAATTTATTTTTTATAATAAGAAATAATATTAATAATTTTAAGATCTTGCAGAATTTATTGGTTTAAGATTATTTATTGCTAAAAAAATAAATTAAATATTCGTAAATATGATAAGCTGCTCATCATCTATTCTACCTGAAACTTGGAATAATTCTAATTAATTGATGCTAAGTTTAATTGCCCCACCTGAAAACCTTAGTCCAGAATATTTTAGTTCACTATTAAACCAGTAAGAATTTTATCATATAGTAAAGGTATGGACCTGTATAGTAAGTAAAAATCTTAAATAAATCGTTAATGGATTTTAAAGTATTTGTAGAAATGGGTAATTCAGAGGCAGCAAAATTAGCTAAACAATTTCTTGATTAACTTTCTTCAAATTTTGTTAAATGTTCATATTATCATGAAGAGAAGCACATTTAACCTGAAAATACAAAAAATTGCTAATTTGAAACTTTAGGTGATTAAACTTAAAGCTCATAAAAATTCAAACATCAAACTTCATTGAATGATAGTACATTTTTACTTTATATTTTTGAGACTTAAAAGAAGACGATGAAAAACCTTCAAGCATCAAGACATTATCTATTAGTTAAAAAATAAATAAATCTTCCTAATAAATTTAACCAACTAATACTTTAAGTGTCAACGGAATCAAAGGAAAAGAATTAGATGCTAAAAAATTATATAATATCTTTAGTAATTTCGGAAATATTGATAAAATCTTACTTATAAAGTAAAAATAATTTAATATCTAATAATTAGACTAAAAAATTTCGCTTTTGTAAAATATCTCAAAGATGATAATGCTATGTTCGTTTTCTAGAATTGTTAAAAGTTAGAATTCTTCGATAGTATGATTTCAATTACTTTTGTTGCAGAAGACTCAATAGATAAGCTAATTGATCTTGATAATCTTTATGAAGAATAAGATTATTTTATAGGCTGTGAAGAATCAGATAGGTATCAAAAGTATTTATTAATAGATTTAATTGTAACAATAAAATGATTCTTTTACCACCAAGTTAAGTATTACACATCTCAAATCTTAAGAAGGTTTCTTCAAATGCTGAAACTATGTGGGATGTATTCTCTGAATTTGGTGTTGTTTAAGTATTCATTTTATTTAATTAATAGGCTGTAAAAGTATTAAATACTTAATTTAAATTTATGTGTTTAGTAAAGATGGAAACTTTAAAGTAAGCTATAGAAGTTGTGGCTCTAATGCATAATGAAGAGATTGATAATAGAAATGTCTAAATCTCTTTCACAAAAACAAAAATTTGATCATATTGAAATAATTAATATATATAATATATAATAAATTAAAAAACATTATAATTCTATAAATTTTAATAAATAAGATTGGAATTATAATTATAATATAATAATTATAATGTATTATGTAAAATTAATTATTTTTTGTTAATTATTATAATGCAAGATGATTTGTAAGGTAATTAAATGAATATGTGCTGACGTATGATTTTGCCATATAAATATGAGAATCTAAATCTTTTACTTTCAATAATTCTTAGTTTTAATGAATAACTTCCAACTCTTTGATAACAGACTCATTCTTTAACAACAACTTCTCCTCTAATAAATGTTTATTTACAATCAAATGCTTGTTTAAAAGTAATATATTGCCTCTAACCTTTACTCTAGAACTAAAATGCAATAATAACAATTTATATAAAAAACAACTGATGAAAATGAATCCTCTTCTCCATCAATTTCAAAATTAGAAGAAACATTTTAAGTTAAACCTATACCATTAAAATCAACTAAAAAATTAGAAAAATTAACTCAACAAAAGAAACCTAAGAGATAAGATGATAATAAGGTTGAGAATAAAGAACCTTCTTAAAAGAAAAAAATATTTTTATCTATGCTTGATATTAAAGAAACTCAATATAAAAAGTATTTCAATCATTTATCAATTTAGATTTAAAATTATTGAGATAGATCAAGAAAAGAAGGCAATAATTTCTTCTCAAGCCGAACAATGATTATACTTTTTAAATTTCTGTATATATTATAACAATATATATTATTACAATATTATAATTCATTATTCTTTAATCATAACTCATTATCAATTAAATCATTATAATCTATAGAATTTTAATAAAAAATGATTATAAAAATTCAACTATAACCTTAATTTATTAATTAAAAATATTCTATCTATTCTTTTTTCAAAAGATTACTTCATTTGCTTTGATGTTTTCAATTAAATTCAATATTCAAATTATAAAAAACAATAGACATTATCATAAGGTCTATAAAAACAATTAATTATATAAAATTTTTAGACTAGATTATAAAAATCATTTCTTTAAAATTTATTCATTTATCAGAGATAATAATTTCTTATAATAAGGTTTAATTGAAATATCATATAAAACTTAAATATTTTCTATCCACAATAATTATCAACCTAATACCAACATTGAATTTAATTATTTAAAAATAGTAAAATATCTTAAAAGAGAAGAAAATGCATGAATTTATAAATCAAATATTTCGATTTTTTTTTAAGTTAAAATAATTTTTATATATGTTTTTTGTTACTTAAATTTTTGATGAACAAGAGGATGATAAAGAAAGCAAATAAGCAAGATAGATTGTATCTGTTCTTTTAAGATTTTCTTATTATGCATTTCAATTAAGTGTCATTTATGAATCAGCTTATATTATATACTTTGAGATGAATAGAATTGTGTTTTCAGTATACTTTACTATTTTGTACTATTTTTTTTTAAAATCTTTTTACTTATCAATTAGTGTGAAAAGCTAAGCTAATATAAACATGATTGAAGAATAAAATATATGTAAGAGATGTAAAATTCATAGAGGTTTATTTTATGAATATATATAGAAATAACAACACATCACTGTAAAATTTGTTAACATTGTGTATTAGAAATGGATCATCATTGCTTTTTTATAG